TAGGTGGTGTTTTTACCAGAACTATTCCAAATCTTACGGGTGGTGTTTTGTTTTCCTTTGACTAGGTGTCATGGGTGCAGTGGTGGCTCCTGTAGCCCTTTTGGGTGGTCCTTTGCTGATCAGAGCTGCCTGGTATACTGCTGGAATCGTCGGAGGGCTCTCAACTGTGGCCATGTGTGCTCCAAGTGAAAAATTTCTGAACATGGGAGGACCACTTGGAATAGGCTTAGGCTTTGTTCTTGCCTCTTCAATTGGTAAAATACTGTTTTAATACTGTCAGATAAAGTAGGTCATAAACTTAAGCTGCTAAGATGCAACTCATGTTTAATTGCAGATTGGTCTGTCCAGTTAAGATGTGCCTTAAATAGCCCTTGCAACTCTAGCACAGCAGAAAATACTCTGTGAAATTTGTTCTTGCAAACAGACATGAAGTTACAGTTCTGGCAAGTGTTCATCTGATAAATGGCCAATAGTGGTGGCTTGTATTTTTAATTACTGCCAGTGACTAGGGAAGACAGTAAACGCGATCTTAGTTCTTGATCCGCTTGCTCTCCCTTATGTGTTTCTAGGCATTGTTGTAGTCCTAGGGACAGAAGTACTTTCACATGAAGAAAAGTACGTGGGATTCCCTAGGGTGTTCAAAATTACTGAATCGGGTTGTATGTGTGACATCTCCAGCTCAGGTATTGAAGTTCTTGGTATCAACAATGCACCACAAATTGAGAATTGAAAACTCATTGAAAAACGTGTGCTACAGTAACTGAAGTTTGACCCAACTCAGAGTAGCAGATACACATAGTAGCTTTCTTTAACACTATTGTACATTTCTCTCTAGGATCCATGTTCTTGCCTCCTACTTCTGCTTTTGGTGCTGGCTTGTATTCGGTAGCTGTTTATGGTGGATTGGTACTCTTTGGCATGTTCCTGCTCTATGATACCCAGCATGTTATCAAGCGTGCAGAAACTGTTCCGTATTATGGAGCAACAAAATACGATCCAATCAATGCGTAAGTATTTTGTGTTAATGCAGCTGATCTCAGTGTCTGTAAGAATTTGCTTCAAGCTATATTGAAGTATGCTTTAAAAACAGCCAGACCTTTTGTTTACTGTTCAAAAGTCTATTGTTGTTAAATGTGAAGAATCACAGGGTTTAAAAATACAATGCAAAAATAGCTAGTGGTGTTAAAAGTGAAACCGTCTGCCTGAAATGAGAGAAACGGGATTGGATGTGCGGTGTCACGTGCTTCTAGCAGTACTTTCTAAAAAGTATTTTTGTTTTCTAAAGCATTGCTGGGAGAATTTATAGCTGCTTTCTGAAAATGTGTCAATATCAGCTGAGACAAAAAATGTTAACTCCTTCATAGTCACTTAATATTCACTAGTCTTTGTCACTAAATAAAAAAGCTTCAACAATGTGATAGGGAAAGAAGGATTAATTGGCTTTCAGTAAAGACCAAGTCTGACTAACAAGTAACTTGCTTGTAAATGTTGTCTGTCTGACCTTAGGAGAATTGTTTACGTCCTTGACTCTGGTTTCTTATGCTTGAAATAGAGTAACGCTGACCTTCTTCAAAATTCTTGGAGATAAACAGATAAAAGTACAGCATAAAAGCAGAGGGCTACTGTATGAGAACAGTATGCTGTCTGTTAAGACTTTTTTAAGTAGTTCCTGCTGGCAGAGATGGTAGAACAAACATAGAGGGGTTTTTTTGACTTTCAAGTAGTGAGGACAATCATAGTTGGGTTTTGTTACAGATGCTTCAGGAAGGTTTTTAAAAATGAAGTATAATGGTGTGAAATGCCAAATAATACTATTTCTGTTCAACAATATTAACTTTGATTTCCTGTTTCCTAGGTGCATGGGTATCTACACAGATACACTGAACATCTTCATTCGGGTGGCCACCATGCTTGCGGGTGGTGGAGGTGGCAGGAGAAAGTAAACTGAGACTCCTCTTTGCAGCTGTCTGACAGCCTACCTAGTGCACATACTAAATAAAAATTCGTGGTTACAAGCAGTTTTGCTGCAAGTCAGAAGTTTAAAGCATTTCAGCATATTGTTTCAGTGCAATGTGATTCAGACTTAATAGTTCTTCTTCAAACACTTTCCAGCTCTCTGTTTAAAACAGTGTGAATTGCTTCTAATTGTACATTATTTTGGGAAAGTAAATTATTTTTAATATATGAGTAAAATATTCTATCTGCTTTTTAATGGGTTTGACAGCAGTTGAACTCGTACTTTCTTTTTTTTTTTACTGTTACTGCATAGTAAAGGAAGTAATTTCTAAACTGGTATCCCATAGGCAGATAGGGACACAAGCTACTCATGAAATGCTGTTGAGATGCATCAGTTTTCAGTTAAGATTGCATAAATGATATTGTAGTGACACATTAAGAAGAACTGAACAAATTAGATATGGCACTAAATGCAGTAATGACTTCTGCCTGGGCAGAAGTTTCAGAAAAGTTTAAGCAATTGTCAGAAATGCATTGGATGTGACAGGTGAGGTGACCAAAGGAGACAAGATGAGGAAACAATGTGCATTTGTCCCATATGAACTTCAGTCTTTCTGAAGTACACATGAGAACTCCTTGCTGTAATGTTGACTGGATACAATAGCTAGGTTCTTTTGATACTAGATTTATCAAACTGTCGAATAGCAATAGAGGTGTGTCTTTCTTCCAGTGAGTAAATTTCAGTAGTGTGGGTGAAGCGCCATCCTTCAGAAGAGCTCCTAGTGCTCATCTCTTGCAAGCTTAATGCAGTTGGCACAGAAAGAGGGAACTGAGGATAGCCTGCTGTAAACCCAGGTATCATAAATTTACCATCCTGTTGTATGCTTTAGGTTGTTTCTAATTCTTCTCCAAAATTGGTATGTTTAGCTTGGTCTAAAAGAAATGTTCTCTGTCAGTGAAACTGATTTAACATTAAGAAATTATACTTAGCAAACTCTATAGCTATATGTCGGAATAAAGGTGAGTTCTTGGGCACAAGGAGGTTTTGAGCTAATGTCAACAACTGGGACTTTGAATTTCTGGTAAATATGCTATGTTTATGTATTGACTTACGGAACAATAAAATTCTAGCCTCACAGTTGACTACTCTCACTTTCTCTGTGTTAATAGAAATATTTTAGTACCCCTGCACTAATAACTTGGTGAAGAGTACTATAAATATTTTTTTGGCTACAGTTTCCATCGTAAGAGAGTGCATATTCCTCTGTAAAAAAAATCCACAAAGAAGGCTTCCAGTTTCACTGGCTAGCGTCTTCTGGGGGATGTTTCCCAGATGGAAGATGCTGCTACACTTGCTTCATGTGGTTCTGTTAGTGTAACTTGTCAGTGGTGGCTACTGAGTGCAGCCAGTGCTGCTTTTCTGTCTCTCATATGCTGCAGTATTTTTAGTCTCTCTAATGATGGCGAAGAAACAGTGGATTGTGAAGAACCTTGTTGCAACTCCATTTTGGCCAAAGATTATACGGCATGGTCTAGTTCCTGGCACTGTTACAGCCAAAGGAAAATCTAGTACTTAGATGGAAGAAATCTCTGGATCATATCAAATGTGAGTAGCCTATTTAGGGGGGTTTATCTTTTTAAGCAATTTCATGTGCTCAATCAGTTTTTACATACTGTTGCTGTAGCTGAACATGGCAGCGTGCTTGTCCTCAAATTCTGAAATCTACAGAGAGCTGTCTTACAACAAAATTCTAATCTCTGTGCCTGTAATAAAACTTGGGCAAAACTTCTTTTGTCTAGATTCCAAGGACATTTTAGAGGTTGACTATGAACCAAGAGAGGGATCCTGGATTGTTTGAAACAGTAAGGTGTACAACAACAATACCATACGTAAGGGAGGTGTTTGCATGGAAAGCAAGTCCAACAGGAAGGTCTAATTACCTTTTAAGAAACAGGCCAAATAGGCCTGAGAGAGCACGAGCATTCATTTGTGCTCAGTCTTCTGAAAAGATGTGGCTTGACTCCTTTGGATGAGATTATATCAGTAGGAAAATACTCTTAGTGGTATCTAGCCTAGGTCTCCAAAAAGAGAAAAACAAGATTTAAGAGTAGTTCCTTTACATTTGAAGTCCTAAATGAAGAATTAAGATTTACCTTAAGACAGCTCTAATTTGGAGAGGGATGAAAATCTAAAATGTGGCAATTTAATAGGCACAGGAACAGCTGCCCATTTTTTCAGGGAGAGCATCTGTCTGAGAGCTTGTGCTGGCGTACTGTCAGGCTACTCTTGGAATGCAGACAATTTGAGAACTTTCTAGAACTAAAAAATTGTTTAGATTTATCAACAGAACTTAACTAGGGTGATGTTACTGTAAGCAATTTATTTGGGATTTTTTTTTCCTTAATTGAGAGGTCTAATTGGAAAACTTTGAGATTCTTTTAAGTAGGTATTAGGGTCCATTAAGTATGTCTTGCACGGCAGCTCTGAGAGCAAATATAGGTGAGGAAAATCGGGGGGGGG